GTTTTCCCTCCAAGTGTCTTCACATTAAACTAAATCTTACTGGTGGAAACTCCTAGAAACCCAGAACCAGGGTTTCTGTGTGGCACAGGGATGGGGGAGGGGCATGCTGTAAATTAATTTAATTCAGCAAATATTTATTGATTGGTTATGTTCAAAGATCCAGGCTAAGTGCTGAAGGAGGAATAAAGATGAAAAGAAGATTGTTCCTTCTTCCTGGGAAGCCAAGTCTCATAATCTTATTGATAGGGGAGACATAGCAGCCTTGTGATATCTGATGACTTACGGTGTAAGCTACCATTTTTTTCTATTGCCATCATGTCAATTGATCCTGCCTAGAGTGGGTGGCATGGTCTACTTGGGGTGGGACTCAGGATTAGAAAAGAACCATCGTGGTGTCTATTTATGAGTCTTAATTTCTTGCTTTTAGTTGAAGTTTATAGAATAAACTTGGGACTTTCATTTGGTTTTGGTGCAAATAAATTTTTTGTCTATTTTTGGTTCTTTTAGTTCCTTTTGGTGGGTTTTAGAGGAATTTTAAACACATTTGCACTTATATTACCTCCTTTCTCTTACTGATTTTAATAGTTTGCCTATGTAATGATACTAATCTTTTGTTCTATGTTCTACTTATCACAACCCCCAGAGTATTTACATTTTAATTTTCTTTTCAATATTCTTTTTGACATTTAGACACTTAAAATTTTCATATAACCAATTTTATTGTTTCTTTTATGGTTTCTGCTTCTGATCATCCCAAGAAAAGACTTCCCCACCATAAAATCAGCTTAATTCTTATTTTCTAATTTCTTAATATTTTTATTTTTCATATTTAACCTTAGATCCACTTGGAATTTGTTTGGATATATAGTATAAGGCTAAATTTGCTCGGTAATAGCCTTCTCCCCCACAAAAAAAAAAATGGTAAGCCAGTTCTCTGCCACCTCTGGGAAGACAATTCATGTCACACACAATGTTTTCATTTATTTATTTGAGTTTCTTTCTTTCTATTTTTAAAAAAAATTTTCTAATTGTTTGTATCCCTTTCTAGACTGTTCTAGGTCTTCCCTACCTTTGCCTATCCTGTGCTTACTCTTTCAATTATTGTAATTTAAATATATGTTTAATTGATTATGCTACTGCAGTTGTTCCAATTTTCTCCTTTGCCCCCCTCCACCTGGTACCCCCTTCCCTCCAGCAATCCCCCCCTTAGTTCATGTTCATGGGTCATGCGTATGTTTTTGGCTTATCTACTTCCTATACTGTTCTTAACATCCCCCTGTCTATTTTGTACCTACTAATTTGTACTTCCTAATCCCTGCCCTTTTCCCCCATTTCCTCCTTCCCCCTTCAACTGGTAACCCTCCAAATAATCTTCATATCTATGATTCTGTTCCTGTTCTGCCTGTTTGCTTAGTTTGTTCTTGGATTCAATTATTGATAATTGTGAATTTACAGTTATTTTAATGTTCATGGTTTTGATCTTCTTTTTCATATGTAATGTCCTTTAGCATTTCATATAACAATGGCTTCGTGGATAAACTCCTTTAGCTTTACCTTGTCTGGGAAGCACTTTATCTGCCCTTCAGTTCTAAATGATAGCTCTGCTGGATAAGAGTAATCTCGGTTGTAGGTCCATGCTTTCCATCACTTTGAATGCTTTTTGCCAGCTCCTTCTAGCCTGCAGCGATTCTCTTGAGATCAGCTGATAGTCTCAAGGGAACTCCTTTGTAGGTAACTCTCTCCTTTTCTCTTGCTGCTTTTAAGATTCTCTCTTTATCTTTAACCTTTAGCATTTTAATTATGATGTGTCTTGGTGTGGTCCTCTTTGGGTCCATCTTGCTTGGGACTCTCTGTGTTCCTGGACTTGTATGTCTATTTCCTTCACCAAATCAGAGGAGTTTTCTTTCATTATTTTTTTCAAATAAATTTTCAATATCTTGCTCTTCCTATTCTCCTTCTGGCACCCCTACGATTCAGATGTTGGTATGTTTAAAGATGTCCCAGAGGTTCCTAAGCCTAGCTTCATTTCTTGGTTGTTTTTTTTTTTTTCAGTTCTTTTTTCTTCCTGCTGTTCTGATTGAATGCTTTTTTCTTCCTTGTGTTCCAAATTGTTGATTTGATTCTCGTCTTTATCCCCTCCACTGTTGGTCCCCTGTAGATTTTTCTTTATTTTACTTAGGGTAACCTTCAATTCTGCTTGGGTCTTTTTTATGCTGTTGAAGTACCCAAAGAGTTCCTGGAGCATTCTGATAACCAGCGTTTTGAACTGGGCATCTGAAAAGTTGCTTATCTCCATTTCATTTAGTTCTTTTTCTGGAGTTTTGTTCTGTTCTTTCATTTGGCCATATTTCTTTGTCTCCTCATTTTGACAGCCTCCCTGTGTTTGTTTCTATATATTAGGTAGAGCTGCTTTGATTCCCTGTCCTAGCAGCATGGCCTATTGTAGAAAAGCACACCTGTTAAGTTGTATGGGGCAGAGCCTTAGGTAATCACCACGTTGGGGCAACCCATGTCACCACTCTGTTGCTGAGTGGGGGAGGGCTCAGACAGGGGACAATGCCACTGCTTGGCTTCTGGAGTTTTGCCTGGGAGGAAGCTATCTCATGGCACTTACACTTCACTTTCTCCTTATATGCCACTGGTGCCCTTCCAGCTGTTGCCCTAGTGCTGAATCCCAGAGGGGGTGGGTCTGCATGAGTATTATGTCTGTTGAGGGCCCTTTAAGAGGAGTCTCTTGAGACTCCCTCAGACTCTTTCACTACCCCAACCACTACTGGTTTTTACAGCCAGAAGTTATGGGGACTTATCTTCATGGTGCTGGAACCCAGGGGTGCGTGGGATGGACTGGGGCTGGGATTCCTCACTCCTGAGGTGCCCCTCCTGTTTTTTATCCAACACACATTATTGTCTCCATGTCTCTCCATGCCTCTCCACCTCTCCGCGCCTCTCTGTGCCTCTCTGTGCCTCTCTGCAACTCTCCACACATCTCTGCATTTCTGCCCCCTCCTACCTATCTGGATGAATGTGACTTCTTTAAATCCTTGGTTGTCAGACTTTCATACAGTTCGATTTTCTGACAATTCTGACTGTTATTTGTTTTGAGATTTAGTTGTAATTATATTTTGTGGTTGTGCAATGAGGTGAAGTGTGTGTACTTATGCCTCCATCTTGACCAGAGCACGCAGAGCCACAAAGCAGAGGAGCAGGTTGCCCCATCCAGGAGATTATCTAAGGCTCCATGCCACACAATTTATAGATGCTTCTAACAGGGAGTCAAAGCAGCTCTACCTAATACATAGAAACAAACACAGGGAGACTGCCAAATTGAGGAGACAAAGATATATCACCCAAATGAAAGAACAGAACAAAACTCCAGAGAAAGAACCAAACAAAATGGAGATAGCCAACCTCTCAGATGCAGAGTTCAAAACATTGGTGATCAGGATGCTCAAAGAACTCACTGAGTACAGCACAAACACAAGAGAAGAAATGAAGGTTACACTAAGTGCAATAAGGAAAATTTCACAGGGAACCAACAGTGAACGCAAGGAAGCCAGGATTCAAATCAACAACTTGCAACACAAGAAAGAAAAAGACATTCAACCAGAACAGATAGAAGAAACAAGAATTCAAGAAAAACGAGGAGAGTATAAGAAGACTCTGGGACATCTCCAAAAGGAACAACATCCGAATCATAGGAATGCCAGAAGGAGACGAGGAAGAGCCAGACATGGAAAACGTACTTGAAAAAAAAAATGAAAGAAAAAATCCCTCATTTGATGAAGAAAATAGACATACAAGTCCAGGAAGCACAGAGAGTCTCAAACAAGGTGGACCCAAAGAGGACCACACCAAGACACATCATAATTAAAATGCCAAAGGGAAAAGATAAAGAGAATCTTAAAAGCATTAAGAGAAAAGCAGAGTTACCTACAAAGGTGTACCCATAATACTATCAGCTGATTTCTCAAAAGAAACTTGGCAGGCTAGAAGGGACTGGCAAAGAGTATTCGAAGTGATGAAAAGCAAGGGCCTACAACCTAGATCACTCTGTCCAGCAAAGCTATCATTTAGCGCTGAAGGGCAGATAAAGTGCTTCCCAGACAAGGTAAAGCTAAAGGAGTTTATCATCACCAAGCCATTATTACATGAAATGCTGAAGGGCATTATATACGAAAAAGAAGATCAAAACCATGAACACTAAAATGACAATAAACTCTCAACTCTCAACAACTGAATCTAAAAAACAAAAACAAACTAAGCAAAGAAGCAGAACAGGAACAGAATCATAGATATGGAGATCCTTTGGAGGGTTATCAGCTGGGAGGGGGAAGGGAGAGAATAGGGGGAAAGTTACAGGGATTAAGAAGCATAATGGGAAAGTGCAAAATAGACAGCGAGATGTGGAGAATAGTCTAGGAAGTGGAGTAGCCCACCAACTTACATGTACCACCCATTGACATGAACTAAGGGGCGGGGGATTGCTGGAGGGAAGGGGGTACCAGGTCGAGGGGGGCAAAGGGGAAGAAATTGGGACAACTGTAATAAAATAATAACATATTTTTTAAAAATGCACCATTTCAACTATTTTTCAGTACATGATTTATTGGCATTAAGTACATTTATAGTGTTATTGCCATTATCTATTTCTAAAATGTTTTCATCACCCCAAACAGAAACTCTGTTTACCATTAAGCAATAGCTCCACATTCCCTACCCACCCCCTCAATCCTTGCCAACCTCTAATTTATTTCCTGTGTCTATAAATTTGCCTGTTACAGATATTTTATATAAGTGGAGTCATACAATATTTGTCCTTTTGTGTCTGGCTTATTTCATTCAGCATGTTTTCAAGATTCATCTGTGTTGTAGTGTATATTAGAATATGCTCATCACTTCTTACATTAAACATTTCCTTTTGATGGCCCTGCAAGGACCCCTGTCTTTGTGCTTCTACTTATCCTGATCATACTCTTTTCTTCTTTTCAACATGTTTTCAGAGCCTCCCCTTCCAGAAGTAGATTTTTTCACAGTACACGGAGGGCCTCTCCCACGCCTGAAACTGAGGAAAGCCAAGGAGATCAATGGGCCTATCAGGTCAGTATCAGCCCCTTTTCCACGGTTGCTCAAGAATCCACAGAGTGTTTGGGAATCTTTGGGTGGCAGCACTTGAATAGTTACACACAGACTGGACCTTTATTTTCAACCAGCACCTTTCCAAACAAGCAGAGAGACTCCTAAAAGACCAGAAACCAGCACTTGGACGGTTTAGCTCTAGAACTTAAAACCATGTCCTTGCTCACTGGACGAGTGTCGGTTGGGTGTCTGCGACATGCCGGACATCATCCTTCACACTCCCGTCTCCACGAGTATTTGGCAGTGATGGTGGATCAGCAGCATCATCCCATTTACCAAAAACAGAATATATTTCCCCTTATTTAAGGACAGATGGCTTCTGAAATGGTCATTTAGATCACCCTTTTAATTCATTCATGTATTCAGTTATGGGCAAAATACCACATAGTTAATGACTGTTCTGGGATCCCAGATAGCAGCAGCGTAGTAGGACAGATAGTAGTAGGTTAGAGGACTGCACTGTGTTCATTTAAGCACTTTCTTTTCAAAGGTCATGGTAGAATTATGAAAGCAGAATTACTCCCTTTTTTTAGAGAGGAAAGCAGAGGTTTGCCTGCAGAGGTGAGCAACTTGCTTGCAGGAATAAGTCAAGGAGGTAATAGTAACCTTGCTGTCTTTGACTAACCGACATTGCCTTCTCTCTCTTGACCCCATCAGTCCAGCGACCCTTCAGTACAGTCAAGATAAAACTAAATGTGAGATATTATAAAAGAGAACATCTGGAGATATTATCTGGGTGTCCATTTATAATGAAACTTAGGGGATTTTTTTTTTTTCCTGTTTTTCCATTAGTTTAAGTTCAGTAAATGCTCAAAGGTCTCTCCAGGGATGGATATGGCCTAAATTGTTTTGTTTCTTGATTCCTGACAAGTGACTGGAATGCACTATATAATTCTGTTGCTATAAAGAGAACAGAAGTTGTGATATCAGTTCCTGAGAGGATTTGTAAGAGCACACGTGGTATTTGGGCCAAATAATGACGTAAGGCAAAAAGAAAAACCAGATGATAAGTCAACCCTTGGGGCTTATGCAGACCTGAGCCTCCAAAACAGGAAGTGGAGATCTGTGAGTCATTCAAGGGAGGGTGGTGACCAGAAAGAGGCAAAAACTTCTTCCCGAGCATTCCTATTCCCAACAGCCCTAACAGCAGTTAGGGACTGCTTCGCTAACGTCACGGGCTAGTTACCAGCAGGCAGGTAGGGTGGTTTCCTCTGCCTGACAACTAACTGTCTCTGACTTGAACTGTGGGTAGCAGCTTGGCCAGTGTGTGAGATGGGCATGAGTCTGCTTTGCGTGCTGTTGGTAAGGGAGCCGTGGCTTGGGGCACATGGTACATAAAGCAGGGGCTCTGGGACTGAGGCTTTCGTCTGCAGCTTGGTGAACTTGGGTGGCCGAGGGCCTGTTCCTAGGCTCTCTAAATGACGGAGTCTCCCACATTTGCAAGAGGACAGGAATCACCTGGGCTGCTTTATCAGCGAGACAGATTCTCAGAGTCTACTTCGGGAGATTCGGATTCTGTAGGTCTGGGATGGGGGCTAGAAATCTGTATAATTATCAAGCAGCTCAGGGGATGATCACACTAACTGGGGAGACTGCTTTCTGCCACGTGAACAGTGCCTTTCACGGGCAATGTGCCAAGTCAAATAGTTCGGGTGAGCCTTGGCTTTGCACTTGAACACCACCACCTGCCTGGAAAGAAGAGAGGGATTTGAAGATATGCTTATGGACAGGAAGGGGCTGAGGCAACATTTACTTTCTTCCCCGTGATTCATAGGGACACCTTCAAGTCCCCAGGAAAGTATGTCGTTAGAGATGATCCCTTGTAGGCAGTGGGTGCTTAGAAAATGTTTACTGGTTGTGGCAGTGTCAAGCCATTGTCTTGCAGGCTTTACTTCGTCCCTTTCCTAGAAAACCCTTTGCTGAAAGTAAACCCAGACCTTGTGGAAATCAGGGCCCTGAGGACACCTATGAGGCTCAGGACGGAGACTTTCCAGGTCACACACGTGCTGTGGGGGAGGGCTCCATTTTCTTAACCTAGTGACTCATGGGCCTGCAGCAAGCGTTAGGAATGTGGACCAGGAAGGGTACCTTTACAGGTAAAACAGAATTATGTGGCCTAATGAGCTTTGGAAATCACCCCGATCATATCTTATGTCGATGCCTATTTTCTTTTTTACTGAAAATTTAACTCAGGAAACATTAGTGTGGAGTCAGTCACAGCCAAAGGCCTGTGTAAGGACTTGCAAAGATGTAAGAGTGAATCATTTAAATCCCTGCTCTCGAGCCTGATTGAGGAAGCAGATGTTCAAACAATGACTATACCAGAGGCAGGAGCTCTGTACTGAATAGATGGAAATAAAAAAGAAGGCGTGATTCATTCTCAGTGAAATTTTATTCTTCGCCTTCCTTTCACTGACAGGGTTTCTGTTTGGTGGGATAAATAAGAAAACACATGACAAAATGACACCTGATTGCTAATGTGTTTCTGTGTCCACAATTAGGGAACGGTTTCACAATATGCCTGTGACATTTTGCCGTTCTGGCTATTTCAGGATGTCATCAGACTAGATTAACCCGTGGTGACTTTGTACTCCTTGCTTCTCATTGATTTCACATGAACTTCTGTGTCAGTCTGCAATCTGCAGGGAATGTTAGTCACATGAGTTTTGTGTTAGGCTACCATGTGGTTCCCTGGAGCCTTTTGCAGACTTAATACATTAACTCTTGTGGGCAGCGAGCTTCCTTGTGACCGCTAAACCCTTTCCACAGCCGGGCTCTATGTGCCCACGTGAAAATCACTCATTAGATCAACGTTACGGAATGCATGCCCAGGGCAGGCAGCGACGCAGGCGACAACTTCGCTCGGCTAAAGAGGATGTCCTTGGCACCCAGCAGCCAGAGCGTGAAGACATCCCTCCCCCCCATGTCATCTGGCAATAACACTGTAGGTTTAAAACTGGAGTTCCTTGACTGCTGGAGCTGTCAGACTAGATCCCACACGGGTAGGGACTATTTTTTTGGATCCAGTATTGTATCTTCAGTGCTTAGGAAATTGCTTATCTCATTGCAGCTGCTCAATAAATGTGAGTAAATGAATGAATGAATTCCCCAAGCAAGAGTCTGATAGACATTTTCTTTTTCCTTCCAGTTCCTATCAGGTGTTAGTGGTTCCCCTGGCTGTCCAAAGCACATTTTCCTGTGATTCTCAAGGGGCTGCCTCGTTCTTTAGCAATGCTTCTGATGCCAGTGGATACGTGGCTGCGGAACTTCTGGCCAGAGCTGTTCCAGATGAGGCCACGGAGATATCTGTTGGAGACAGGCTGTATTATGGGAAATATTATAATGCACCCTTGAAAATAGGGAATGATTATTGCATTATATTACGAATCACAAGCGAATGGAATAAGGTATATTTCTTGAAAAGCTCTTATGAACTCTCTATTTTCTTCTTTACATGGAATTTGAATATTTGTTTTCCCATCATTCAGGAGGAACACTGCATGTAATAAGCACAGGAGTGTGTTGAATCCTTTGCCTTTATAAATGACAGGCAGGTGAAACCTTTCTGGAGGGCAAGGGTCTGAACTTCCTGGGGGACCTGGTTGGACCTGCGTTGGGACTCACCTGGTTTGGGTTCTTCCTCTTGCGCTTCACAGATGCCCTTATTCTAGTACACTACCGAAGCCAAGCTGGAGAGGAATCTCTAGATCTCTCTGCCACTTCCCTGTCCTCCAGCCAGGCTGCTGCCTCCCCTCACTCACCTGAAAGCAGGAGAGAGGGGAAGACTCAGCTCAGTCCTGCCCCAGTTTCCATCCCTTCCGCGGCTATTGCATAGGCCCTCCTCTCCCTGTCCTTAGCAAGGCTATGTTCCTTCAGCAGTGGTTCTTTCAAGAGACAGAACCAGTACTCATCACATAATAAATAAATATAATGATCTGGACAAGCAGAATAGCAAGAGCTGGATCAGTCAGTCAGGGATGGAAGATCTTCTGGAATAAACATTGTTATAGCTGCCCTAGAATGCTGTAAGAGAATGCTGTAAGTTTTGTGTAAATTCATATGGGTTGGTCATTGCAACTGGAAAAGTATATTAACATTAATAGAAACATCTCTTGACTGATGAACTTGAGCCATTTTGAGTGTAAGGCTCATCACATATTTAAAACTGAGACATTTTATTAAATTCTGTATAGGACACGAATCTAATGTGCCATTATTATGTTTGATATAAAACTAATAGCTACTTTTTAAGAGCATATGTTATTGATTATTTTATTACAGTTGTCCCAATTTCTTCCCCTTTGCCCCCCTCGACCTGGTACCCCCTTCCCTCCAGCAATCCCCCGCCCCTTAGTTCATGTCAATGGGTGGTACATGTAAGTTGGTGGGCTACTCCACTTCCTAGACTATTCTCCACATCTCGCTGTCTATTTTGCACTTTCCCATTATGCTTCTTAATCCCTGTAACTTTCCCCCTATTCTCTCCCTTCCCCCTCCCAGCTGATAACCCTCCAAAGGATCTCCATATCTATGATTCTGTTCCTGTTCTGCTTCTTTGCTTAGTTTGTTTTTGTTTTTTAGATTCAGTTGTTGAGAGTTGAGAGGTTATTGTCATTTTAGTGTTCATAGTTTTGATCTTCTTTTTCGTATATAATGCCCTTCGGCATTTCATGTAATAATGGCTTGGTGATGATAAACTCCTTTAGCTTTACCTTGTCTGGGAAGCACTTTATCTGCCCTTCAGCGCTAAATGATAGCTTTGCTGGACAGAGTGATCTAGGTTGTAGGCCCTTGCTTTTCATCACTTCGAATACTCTTTGCCAGTCCCTTCTAGCCTGCCAAGTTTCTTTTGAGAAATCAGCTGATAGTATTATGGGTACACCTTTGTAGGTAACTCTGCTTTTCTCTTAATGCTTTTAAGATTCTCTTTATCTTTTCCCTTTGGCATTTTAATTATGATGTGTCTTGGTGTGGTCCTCTTTGGGTCCACCTTGTTTGAGACTCTCTGTGCTTCCTGGACTTGTATGTCTATTTTCTTCATCAAATGAGGGATTTTTTCTTTCATTTTTTTTTTTCAAGTACGTTTTCCATGTCTGGCTCTTCCTCGTCTCCTTCTGGCATTCCTATGATTCGGATGTTGTTCCTTTTGGAGATGTCCCAGAGTCTTCTTATACTCTCCTCGTTTTTCTTGAATTCTTGTTTCTTCTATCTGTTCTGGTTGAATGTCTTTTTCTTTCTTGTGTTGCAAGTTGTTGATTTGAATCCTGGCTTCCTTGCGTTCACTGTTGGTTCCCTGTGAAATTTTCCTTATTGCACTTAGTGTAACCTTCATTTCTTCTCTTGTGTTTGTGCTGTACTCAGTGAGTTCTTTGAGCATCCTGATCACCAATGTTTTGAACTCTGCATCTGAGAGGTTGGCTATCTCCATTTTGTTTGGTTCTTTCTCTGGAGTTCTGTTCTGTTCTTTCATTTGGGTGATATATCTTTGTCTCCTCAATTTGGCAGTCTCCCCGTGTTTGTTTCTGTGTAGTAGGTGGAGCTGCTTTGACTCCCCGTCTTAGGGCACCTGTTAAGTTGTGTGGAGCAAAGTCTCATATGCCAGGGCAGGGCAGCCCACTTCACTGGTTTGTGGTTTTGTGTGTGGGAGGGCCTCAGAGGGGGGCTGTGCTACTGCCTAGCTTCTGAAGGCTTCCCTGGCACTTGCCCCATTTCCAGGCACTTCACCTACTTCCTGCATGTGACTGGCACCCTTCTAGCCATTGCCCTGGTGGTGATTCTCAGAGTGGGTAGGTTTGTGTATGTTCTAAGCCCATGCAGGTCCTTTAAACAGACTCTCCTGAGAAACCAGCAGTTTCTTCTGCCACCCCAACCCCCACTGGTTTTTACTGTGTTGCACCATCTGGCCTGGGGCTGGGATTGCTCACACCCAAGGTCTCCCTCCCAATTTTTATCCACCGCATGTGAATGTGGGACCACCTGTTCTGCCACCACTGCTACTGCTGCCATTGCTGCTCTGTGCCACTCTGTGTCCTCTCTGCCCCAGCTCCCCATCTCCACCCCTCCTACCCGTCTGGATGAATTTGGCTTATCTAAATCCTTGGTTGTTAGTCTTCCATTCAGTTTGATTTTCTGGAATTCTGGGTGTTTTTTGTTTTGAGGTTAGTTGTGATTCTTCTTGTGGTTGTGTGATGAGGTGAAGCATGTCTACCTATAGCCCCGTCTTGACTGAAAGTTTCCTAATGGTTACTTTAAAGAATATGTCCAAGTAGCAAAGAGGTCTGGTAGTGTTTTGTGACAGTAATGTAGGAATTAAGAATTAGAAGATTAAAGCCGAGAATATATTTGACCTGAACTTGTTCAAAAGGTGTTTATGACTGAAACAAGGGCTTCTTACTGGAAAACTACCTGGAGATACTGGTTGGCATAGACGTAGCACTGGAAGTACAACCTGAGTACAGTTTAGAGGTTGCTAGGGAGCTGCTGTCCCAGGTTGAGACTTTGGTCTGGGACAGTGTATTATTCAGTTTGGGCTGCCATTAGATAATACCATAGACTGGGTGGTTTAAACAACAGACATTTATTTCTCATGGTTCTGGAGACTAGGAAATCCAAGATTGAGGTGCAGGCCAATTTGGTTCCCTGGTGATGGCCCTCTTCCTGGCTTGCGGACAGCTGCCTTCTTGCTGTTTCCTCATATGATGGACACTGAGTGAGCTCTGGTGGCTTCCTCATCTTATGTGGATACGAATCCTATCATGGGGACCCCACCCTCATGCCCTCATCTAAACTTAATTACCTCTCAAAGGCCTTACCTACAAATATCATCACATTGAGGTTAGGGCTCAACGTATGAATTTTGAGGGACGTGAACATTCAGTCTATGACAGAGAGAATAAACCAGGAGGTTATGATAAAAATTCTAGTGTGTAGGAAACATTTCTGTGATGTCATTGTTACCCCTTTTTCATACAGCTAAGTAGAGCATGTATTTGCTCTTTGGGATGCTAAAGGAGATGAAGGAGCTTTGAAGAAATTTATATGTAGACTTGTGTATTTGAATTGTAATTACTTCCCCCTGGGCTTCAAATACATTAGTGTAACGGTCATATTAAAGTCAGCAGTGATTTATTTATTTTTATTTTTTAAACAGCTCTATTGAGATACAGTTCACATACTATATAATTTATCCATTTAAAGTATGCAGTTATGTGGCTTTCAAGTGTATTCATGAGGCTTTACAACCCTTACAACCATCTAATGCCAGAACATTATAGTACTGATTTATTTTTAATTGTGGTAAAGTATACATAACATAAAATTTACCATCTTAATAATTTTAAGTGTACAGTTTAGTAATATTAAGTACATTTACATCGCTATGGAACCAACCTCCAGAACTCTGTTCATCTTGCAAAACTGAAATTCTCTAACTACTAAATAACAACCTCTGCCCCTCGACGATGCCTTATCCTTCTATTTTCTGTTTCTGTGGACTTGACTTCTCTAGGTACCTCATGAATGGAATCCTACAGTATTTGTCTTTTTGTGTGAGTGTCATATTTCACTTAGCTAATGTCTTCAAGGTTCATCCGTGTTGTGCCTGTGTCAGAATTTCCTTTCTTTTTAAGGCTGAAAATATTTCATTGTATGTGAATACCACATTTTGTTGACTTATTCATGGGTGGATGGACAGCTGCGTTGCTTCCATTTTTTGGCTATTACAGATAATGCTGCCATGAACATGGGTGTACAAACATTTCTTTGAATCTTTGCTTTCAAAATATTTTGGTAATCACCCAGAAGCGGACTTGTCGCTTCATATGGTAATTCTATTTTTAATTTTTCTGAAGAACTGTCATGCTGTTTTCCACAGCAGCTGCATCATTTTGCAGTCCCACTAAGTGTTCACAGGGCTTTCATTTTCCCCGCGTCCTCTCCCACACTTGCTGGTTTCTGCTGATAATGCCATCCTAATGGATGTGAGGTGCTTCTCATTGTGGTTTTGGTTTGCATTTTCCTGTCGATTAGTGATGTTAAGAATCTTTTCATATACTTTTGACAATTTGTATATCTTCTTTGGAAAATGATTATTTAAGTCCTTTATCCATTTTTTAATGGAATTATTTCTTCACTGAGTTTTAGGAGTTTTTTCTATATATTCTGGATATTAATCCCTTATGAGATATATGATTTGAAAGTATTTTTTTTCCATTCTGTAGGTTGAGTTTTTACTCTGTTGATACTGTCCTTTGATGCTCAGAAATTCTTAATTTTTATGAAGCGCAAGTTTTCTGGGTTTGGTTTTTTTTTTTTTTTGTTTTTTTTTTGTGGCCCATGCCTTTGATGTCATATACAGGAAATCACTGCCAAATCCAATTTCATGAAGCTTTTCCTCTATGTTGTCTTCTGGCAAAACCACAGTATTTTGATTACTGTAGCTTTGTAAGTGAAATTTGAAATCAGGAAGTATGAGTTTTCCAAGTCCTTCATTTTTTCCCCCTTTGTATATCTGTCCTTTTGCATAGTATCACCATGCTCCCACTTGCTAAGACAGAAATGTGAGAATAATTCTTGTCTTCTCCATTCTTCTTATCTTCTTATTCCATTCCATCATCATATTATGTCTATTATACCACCATAATGCTCTTTAAAATCATTCTTTCCTTTTTTCATTAGCATTGTTTAGCCTTTGACATCTCTTGTCTGAGCATCAAGTTTCTAACTCATCTTTCTGTCTCTTGTTTTGCCTGTCTCCTTTCTCCATACTATTGCTGGAATGAGCTTTATAAAATAGAAATCTCATCAAGGCACTTCATTTTAATGAGCTCCCTTCTTAACCTGGCCCTCCAATTTCTCTCTTTTAATACACAGAGTTCCCTAGTAACTGCCATGCTGTGTATGGCCTTTTTTTCTTCTCCAGTGTCTTGAAACACGTCCTTCACTGGTTACTCTTGCATGTTATCTTTCATTAGATGGACTTGCTGTCCTTAGTATCAGGCAAAATTTAGTCTCAGTCAGAACCTTATAGCCATTTTAAATTTTTGCCAGAATTTTTTTTCAGTGTAAATATTTTGTCGTTTTTTTAATAAAATAAAGCCCAAACTGCCCAAGGTTGTCACTTGAAAGAGAATTCGATTGAAGTTGGAAAATCTTTTTCTAATGTCTGCTATTCAGTTTCCTTTGGGGAATATTTTGCTTTGTTTTATCATAAATGGTAATCTCAGCATTCCTAATAGACAAGTATGCATAAAATAAAAACAGTGGAGAAGAAGAGAAGGCATTCTATTCCAGTGAGTTTGTGGGTCTCTTCTACATGGATGAGACCCTTGTCTCATACATACTCTTTTTGCTTTCTTCCTGGTTCTTGGCTACATTTTGGGTAAATGTGGTTGCCCAATAAGTATCACCTAGATAGGTGAAGTATAATTATATGCCAGGAGTTCTCATAGCCTTGTCTATCACAGGCATCAAAGCTTCTTGCTGAACCTGGATGGGATCTCAGAATCTTTTTCAACAGCATTCCCCAGGCAGTGGATGCCAGTTGCTCAGAGCTGGCAAAGGCAATAAAATAATTGCCATTCCTGTTGGTGACCCCGAGTGTGTGCTTTCTGAGATCTATGGAAAGCTATAGAAGTGAGCGCTGGGGTCACTTGCCAATCCACTGACCACTTGGTGATCATGTGGCTCATTTGTAACATATTAGAGCTAGATGAGATGCTGAAGATATTGTAGTCCAAATTAAGAGATAAAACCCTGAAACTTGAAGGGCTAAAATGTACTATTTCAACGGAGAGCATATGCCATCTAGCTAAACATGTTGCTGTGTTTTCCTTTATAGGTGAGAAGATGCTCCTGTGCAGTTTGGGCTCTGGTGAAAGGTAAAACCATTTTCTGCCTCAAATGCTGTCCTCATTTCTATGTCCAATCTGCAACATCAAGTGTTTGTTAATGAGCTTTCTTTTGAAATTGTCACAGGGCACAGAAACCGATCTCATAGGAGCTTAAGCAAAGCCATAGCTGAAAAGGAAGGGGGGTTGGGGGCCGGGACTTATGGAATTCCAACAAGGGCAGCATCTCAAGGGCCCCAGGAACTGGGGACTCGATGCCGTGAGTGGGATTCTCCCTTTCTGTCTGTCATCTCTGTTCTGTTTCTAAGTGTGAGTGGGCCTCATTTTCTTCCACTATAAGCCATGTGGTGGGAAGGGAGGTGTACCAGCTGCCCCAGCTTAGCAACTTGAGTAGGAACAGAAAGTTTTTCAATTCAGGGAGTCTTTTTCTCTCAGGTTATGTGACTATCTGTTGGATGCATCACTATCAATAGGAGATGGGGTACTATGATCATCCTACCGTGGGTTTGGGGCTTACCTGTATGGCTGGTTGGAGGCAGACCAATGGGATTGAGAGCCCCACCAGGGCTGCGGTGAGAATGGGGCATGGACCCCACCAGGAAAAGAGGCACAGAAAGACACACTGTCAAGCCAAAACAAAGGGCTGAAACATTCCAGTACTTTCAGCCCTTTGGCTGCTTGCAACACACATGCACATGTACTATTAAGAAAGACACCCTCCATGAAGAAAACAGAATTGTCTTCCACACAACCAAAAATGGAACCCCGGTAGAAGAAAACTCAAAGGTTAGTCTGGTACGGCATCCAGCTCCAAGACCAAGATCCCTGGGCATGGTCCATTCCTCTTAATCTAATCCAGATGTGCTTCTCCTGATCTGTTGATCAATCTCTGACTAAACGGTAACTTCAGCCATTCTCAAACCACAGTATAAAATATGAAAAGACAAACAAGTAATTTCACCTAGAAAGGAAGACAAGTACTGTGCACCAGTCAGCGGGCTCGTAAGAATGAGCACATCATGCAGGACAGGAAAAGCAAGCCGCCCTTGCCTTGGCAGCAGAGCGGGTCACTTGATCAGTTGGTTGGGCTGCCTTGGTCTTTCTGCCCCATGGGAGAGTGTCCCTGTCCATTTCCTCCAAAGCCGCGCCTGAGAGATGCGGCCGGAAGGAGCTCTGTGAGTGCTGTACAGTTTAATGCTTCTGTTTCCCACACGCGGCTCTCCCTGTGGGGGAATTGCCTAAGGGATTGAGCAAAGGCAGGTCCCGATTTCCAGGCTGGGATTTCCCGAGCCGTGCCTTTCTTTCTTTAAACCAACAGGCAGCCAGCCAGTAGATTTGATTCCCAGAACTCTCTTAGTTTGTAGCTAATACCAGAAATGTTGTGAAGTTTATGACCTTTGAATCTAAACTGTTTCCTTGTGGTTTATGAGTCCCCGGCAACAGCCTGAGGAATCCTGCCCTTAGTTCAGAGTCTCAGTTTAACCCCTTCCATCCCATCCCTTACTCAGGGCAGCATAAAACAATATGCTCGGGTGATGCGGAAGAGCGGATGTAGCCTGGCTTCCAGGGGGATTCCCGTGGGTGGCAGGTTACAATGGGGGATTCCTTACCCTCTCAGTACAGGGTACTGAGCAGGAAATGTTTGAGAGGGACCTAGGGTATTAGGCTCCCTTCACTTGTCTGCTTATCCCCTAATCTTATTTCCCCTCTTTTTACCTCTACTCACACCTTCATCAGGGGTAGAGGACTTGGTTTCTCACTTGGGAAGGTGTGGTACCTGACCGCCAGCCATCTTGGATGACGAATTATCAGACCACCAGGATTTCTCTCCTCTCTCTCATATCTCCATCTCTATTGAGATAGAAACGGCATATAATTGGTTTAAAGTCTGTAATGTGATCATTTGGCATGCATGTATATTGTGAAGTGATTACCCCAATAAGGTTACTTAACACCTCCAACATCTCGCTATATATTTTTGTGTGTATGTGTGTATGACAGAGTGACAGAGAACATTTAAGATCTACTCTCCTAGCAACTTTCCATTCTATAATATAGGATTGATAACTGTAACTACAGTCACTAGATCATCGGAACTAGTTCATCTTATAACAGGAAGTTTGTCCCCTTTCATGTCCCTGACCCCCCCAAACCCCTGGCGACAACCATTCTATTCTCTATTTTGATGAGTTCACTTTTGTTAGATTCCACATATAAGTGAGATCATATAGTATTTATCTTTTTTTCTCTGACTTATCTCACTTAGCATAGTAAGTGAGGACCTCTCTTAACAAAGATGTATGCTGTTTGTTACCTTTCTGTGTGCCAATAGGCTAAGCTCCCTTTCTTGGAGTTTAGTGAGGGCATGAGAAACAACCACACATTCCAATGATCCAACGGGAAATTTTTCTGCCAGTCTGTTTCCTAAAGCTCTAAGGGTGGGAATGGAGTTGCCACAAGGAAAAGAGGTCGTTTTTACAGAAGAGTGGAGATGTGTGAGTAACCTGGACAGATACAGAGACAGTCGCTTCCAGATTCCACTGCTTTCTGCAACTCTTTGGGATGCTTGGCAGACACTCAAACTGGATAGAAGAAATGGCCAAAGAGCTGGCTGCATTCTACTGTGATTAAGTTAAACAGGAAGGATTTTGCCTTGGAAATATCTAAGTGCCTTTTTCTCCACTTTCAAATTAAGAACCCACATTGAGAGCAGGTTTGAACCTTTGAATTCAAACTTCTGGAAAGCTCTGGAGGTAATGGAACACCCATGGTTTTGTCAGAATTCTGAAGGGAATGCTAGCATACATTTTTCTACGTACATAATTAACTTGGGCTGTGCACTAACCTCTGGCAGTTTCTTCTGTGAACAAGAGAAATTGTTCCATTCCAGTCATGCCAAGCAACAACCCCATTCTTGAACTTGCACCATCGTGAATTATGGTGTTTACCTTTTGCAAATTGCGTGTAAAGGAGCTTTGTGGTGATTACCAGGGAAACAGCAGTTGGTTTAATGGGAAATGCAAAGGCCCAGGCTCTCTTGCCTGAGATCTGCTACTAATCAGCCCAATGTCTTTGAAATTATATTTAACTTGGCTGATTCTCAGTGGCCTCTTTCCGAGATCTCTGAGATCCTTGCAGCCACAAAGTCTATGAGTCTGTGATTTCTTGAGTCACAGAGCGAGGTCATTTGATATATGTGAAATGATAATAAGCTATAATCAGGGAACAGTCTTCAGTTGTAGGCAGAAACCTCTTGAGTCACTGGCTTCTCCTCTTTCTCTTTCAGCCCACATTTGGCACCTCGGGCCTGCCTCTCTGATTTTCATTCTGCACATAGGCCTTGCCATTTGCAGCATGGATGGCTGGTAAAGGCTCCTATCTCATTTTCCATCACAAGTGTTCAGGGTTTCCCTCTTCATTGCAGCCTGCATGCTGCCACTGACTCATATTTCTAGACTACAGGACTGATTTTAGTCTTTCCTGTGATGGTTTTCCATAGTTCTCAAGGTCTCAATGTGATACCAATGTACCTTTCTAGTAGCATCTCTCCATGCAAACGTATATACCAGCTCTTCGCTGGATATGGCCCCTGCCTTTTCTCCTTAATGTCTTTGCTCATATGATTGATTACATGCTTACTTCCACCTGGACTGCCCTATACCCTACGCCCTACTGCAATCTCACTTGTTCTTCAAGATTAAGATCAAGTGCCATCTTCTTCCTAAGGCTTTTTAAATTTGCTCGACGGACAAGGTTTCTATCTCTTCCTATCTTTAGCCATTCTGCCATACTTCAGAGCAACTAGTACACTTTCTTTTCTTACTAGATTCTATACTCTGGAGGGAGAGCATTTGAAGAGCTAGAGCAGTGCCTGGCACACATTAGGTGCTTAATCAGAATGTATGGAATTGGAATGAACAAATACAGGCAACCAGGAGTACAGTTTGATGAAAAACGAAGCATAGTAGGTGCCTACTTATCAAATTAAATAATCCAGAGAAGATTTACATCAAGATATAAGCCTACTATATCTGTATATCTATGTGTATGTTATGTATATGTGTGTATACACACAGACACAGACACTCGCTTAAAACCTTCATAATTGTGGTAGGCAGAGAAGATAGTCTCACAAACTCCTGGCCCCTGGTGTACACACATCTTCCCTCATTTATTCAAAGGCTATTCTAGGTGCTGTGAAAAAATTTGAAGATATAATTAAGGTCCCAAATGGAGAGATTATTCAGCTGGACCTGTGCTAATCCCATGAGCCTTTTAAGTGGGTCTAGAGGTCAGAGACAGGGGAAACTGAAGATTCCGAGGGAGAGATCGATTTGACATGAGGTTTTCTCCTGATGGCTTTGAAGGTAGAGGGGACCGCATGGCAGAAAGGTGGATGCCCTGTAGGAACTGAGTGGCCCCTGGCTGACAACAGTGAGAATATGGGGATCTCAGTCCTACGACCGCAAGGAACTGAATTTAGCCCATAACCTGAATGAGCTAGGAAACGAATTCTTCCACAGGTCCCCTGCAGGGAAACGTGGCCCATCTGACACCTTGATTTCAGCCTTGTAAGACCCTGAGCAGAGGACCTGGTCACAATGTGCCTGAACTTCTGACCCACAGAATCGTTAGCTAATAAATGGGTGCTAGTTGCTAAGTTTATGGTATTTTGTGAAGTTGCGATAGAAAAATGAATTCAATAATGTTGCTGATTCATCAGACTTTACTTACCTCTAAATTAGTTTTCTGCTTTGATCTCCTTTGTTACCTCCTATTATGTGGGGAATTCAGGTGAGGAGTCCCTAGAAGAGCAAGAGAAATTTAACACATTAAATAGAATTCACAGTGCTGATTATTTGTAGCTTTTGAGAATGGAATTGGTGCTTTCAGGAAATGACCCTGCTGAGTAGGTTCACAAAAAATGTCCACAGACATAGGAAGTCCTCAAGCTGTCACAAAGTCTGAGAGTAGGAATAGGGCTTTTCTAACTGGTTCTTCAGCATCCGCAATATTTCCATGCATGAAAGGGTTAAAGATAAGCCCAGAGAAGTCCTATCACTCCTCCTGAGCACTGTACCTCTTTAGGGAGCCGTCCTGAAGAGAATGGTGGAGTTCAAGCCCAGTGGATTTATTTTCTCCAAGAATGAGTTCCTGAGAACTTGGGATATAACTCCTGATCCACTCACTTGGGTTTCTAAGAGAATATTCTACAGGTGATTCCAAAACAAACAAACAAACAAACAAACACACACACACACACACACCATGATTTCATGGCATAAGACCATGGAAGGGAGGAGTAAACAGAGGATGGCAAAGCTGTAAGAAATGTAATTCAGATTGGCCAGTTGTAAGTTTTCTCCATAAAGAATCAATGGGGAAGTCCTTAAAGAAGTCCATGTGGCTTCACCGTGAGGCTATTGATTGGATGGACTCAGATTTTCAGAATATCTAGACAAAGTAGAGAGACATATAATCAAAAACTGTTCTATCAGCAGGAACCATGCCTGGAGGCAAAACCCGTCATGTTACGCTGAATGAAAAAAGGTGATTTTCTAATATTTAGTCTGGAGTAAGGAATCGTTGGGTCTATGGCTGAGAGTGAATGATGCCCTGCAGGTGGACGGTCAAGAGAAAGTCAGGTTTCACGTCTACTTTGCTTCTTGCCTGAGGGGATATTTGAAAACAAGAGCTCACTGCTCTACAAGTTCAAGTCTGACCTGGGTGGAGCACATTTTTGCAGGTTCATACAACCTGCAAATGAAGTGGATTAACAAGTGATCTTTGAGAAATCTTGGAGAGGAAGAGAAAAGTAATAAAGCTGGAGATGAGCAAAGAACATGGAACCTTTGTACACTGGTGATAGGCTTTGCAAAGCATACATGACGATAACTTGAAGTCAAGGCCAGGCAAGATATTCAAGAGAGGGCTCTGTGTCTACCTGGTAGAGGAAGCAGCAGTTCCCAGCAGTCAGCATGGGATCTGTGGGCACAGTTAGTCAGATTGCTCTCTTCTTGGACACTGTCACTAACTGGTTAGGAATATGTGACAGGCATCATGCATTTTGACTTAAGCCAGCACTTAACAATGCCCTGTGGACAATGCGGGGAAATGAGGGCTGTGTGTAACCTTTAGAAACTGGTGGAATGACTGTGCAAATGTTGCATATTAATGAGTTGATTTCAAACCCAGGAACATGTAGGAGGGGTTACTATCCACAGTCACCTTCAGTTCAACATTTTCATCAGTCAGTATATAGAGAGGGTGAACCTTTGGAGGAAAAAATAGAAAATATTGATGATCAAAGTTGAGAGGAATGATGGGAGATCGGATGAAACAAGCAGGGCAGTAAAATACTAGCTTCTCGCCGCCATCTCCAATGCTGTATTTTCTCTTAAAAGAAAAACAGCCCTGGCTCGTGTGGCTCAGTGGATTGAGTGCTGGCCTGCGAACCAAAGGGTCACTGGTTCGATTTCCAGTCAGGGCACATGCCTGGGTTGTGAATTGGGTCCCCATTAGGGGGTATATGAGAGGCAACGACACATTGATGTTTCTCTCCCTCTTCCTCCCTCCCTTCCCCTCTGTCTAAAAATAAGTAAATAAAATCTTTTTTAAAAATTTAGAAAAAAGAAAAACCCAATGAATTTAGTATGCAAAAATGGTATTTCGGTGTTTTAATTTGCATCCTTACTACTTGTAAGAGAGCAGTTGATCAAAGGTTTATCAATCATCTGTATACATGTTTTATATGTGATTTACCTTTTCATAGAATTTGTTCATTTTGCTTTTTCCTTATTAATTTGTAATACTCTCTGTATGTTAACCCCTTGGCACTTAATTGTTCTAAATATATTACCCAGTTTTTCATTTGCCATTTAAGCTTGTTTATGGTAGTTTTGGTATATATAAGTGCTTGCTTTTTAATATGGTCAGATCTTTCATTCTCTTATTTTAAGGCTTCTGCATTAATAAATATGCTTAGAAAATTCTTACTTGCTTTAATATTAGGTAATCACGTTTTATTCTAATTCTTTTAGGTTTCAATTTAAGTTTTTAATCCATCTGGATTTTATTTTGGTATATAATATAAACACTAGTGATCAAAATTACTTTATATGGTTAGTCAATTTTCTCAACCCTAGTTATTGATAATGTATACTTTCCCCAATGATGTAAAACAGTAATAAAACAACAATAACAATAATTAACAATAGGTAATCTTTGCTTACTGCTTACTCTCTGCCAGGCACTGTTCCATCATGCATTAACTGATTTATTTCTCACAATAACCCTATAAAATGGATACCACTGTTATTATTCTTATTTTATTATATCATTCCTCTGTGGGGAAATTGAGGCACAGAATGGCTGAATGGCTTGCCCAAAGTCACACAGTTAGGGAGTGGTGGTGTTCAAATACAGACTTGGACAACCTGACTCCAGTATTCAAACTCTGAAATTATTTGACACTGTGTTTGTTTCTCAGATTTCTATTTTATTCCCATGTATTCATTCTTATGCTAACACTGAACTGTTTTAATATTTATTGATTCAAGTCACTCCCCCATTTTTTCCCCTTTACCAATTTTTAATATAACCACACAGCTCCTCCTTCCATTCTATAATATGGTTTCTTAAAATGTCAAGATCTTTTTCCTCTAAATGCTAAATGTAGCCAACAGTGTAAGCCATGTTTTTCTAGAAAGCCTCTTGATGACACTTTCTGAGATAAGGAATCTCACAGGCTTCTTTAGCAAGAGGTCTATTCCATGGCTGCCTTTGCTGGTGACAGCAACTGTGTTGAGTCTCCACTAGAACCAAACTGCTCTTCACCTGCTTGTTGAGATCTGGGCAGTGCCGATCCACAGAACTTTCTGCAGTGATGGAATGATGTTAAGGCTGCGTGCTTCAATATGGTAGCCACTAGCCACATGTGGCTACTCGGCATTTGAAATGTGTGCAAGAAATTGAGTGTTTGAAATAGTATGATTAAGAAACTGAATTTTTATTTTAATTTAGATTTAAATATCTACATTGCGGTTAGTGGCAACCATTTTGGACAGTGGCGATTAGATGAAGAAAAAGCTGAGTAGCTTGAACTATTCTCAGCTTGCCTCATTCACTGCTGGGAAGTAAGTCATCTGTGTTTTGAGGATCTGAAGTCCAGGGGCTACTGTTTTTCTGCTCAAGCCCCTCACCTCTCATGGTAACAGATCTTTGCTTGCTGTTTTCAGCTGTTCTAAGGTAGTGCTGGATTACCCAAGGGGCAGACTAAGCACATGCCTGGGGTATTGGTAAAAAGGGGTACAAAATAAGTAATTTGATATCTCAGCAGTGACAACCCAGCAAATCATCTGTCAAAATTTGGATTTGGTTTCACTTTCTTACATTTATTCTATGGCTTAGTGTTATTTTTATTTTTAATTCTATAGATGCAGAGTCAGCCTTAATATCTCTTCAATGTCTGGTAGCACCATTGCACACTTTTGGAAGACTTCTGTTCTTCCAAAGAGAAACTTGAACTACTACAGCCTAAGGCCCCATCCCCATCGGCCTGTGCAGCAAAGGTCTGGGCCTGCACAGGTCTGGGTCCCCCTGACTCGTAGAGGGAGAGGGGCCTGCCCAGCTGTAGACCGAGCTGGATTCAGATATGCGTGGGGAAAGCATGGTGCTGTGGTCAACAGCAACGACTCTGGAGCCAGACAGTTTGGGTCTGAATTCTGGCTCTGTCATTTACTAGCTGGGTGACCTTGGGCAAGTAGCTTAATCATTCTGTGCCTTAGTTCCTTAACTGTAAGGAACCATTCTATGCTTCGGTTCCTTAACTGTGAGGAACCATTCTATGCCTCGGTTCCTTAACTGTAACATAAGAGGAACATGTACCTGTTCCTCTTATTAGTATACCCACTGGGTGCTTAGGAAAGGTAATTAGAACAGTGTCTGGCACATAGAGTGGGCTAAGTAAGTGTTTGCAAATTAAAACAAGACCACTCGTTTAGAACATGACACTGATTCAGTCACTGGGCCCAAATGTGCAACTCAAATGTGGGTATTTTCAAGTTTATAACCAGGGATCTTGGAGTTGGCATGTGATGTACTCCAAATAGAAATATTCATGTCTTTCAAAGAGATTTTACATCAATTTTCATATTTTATCCTTGTGGTAATCTGCTGAGCAGAGCAGAGGGGTACCACTCTTGCTGATGAGTAGGGAAATGACAGATAACTCTATCCAACAGAGAGGATTTGTTTGCTGTGTTCAACTACTGGAGCTAACTGTCATTTTTCAGGCAAAAACTTCAAGTGATATCAGAATGACTTCTCCCTCAATGCAAAGGAAGACTGCCCGTAGAAGTCTATCACGTGTAATTGACTTGAGAGAAGACCAACAAAAGCAGCACAGGACACTGCATTTGTATGCTCAACAAGATCAGCTTTTTTCATGTCTTGTAACTTGAATGTGGTCTGCTTTTATGCTGCTTTTTTAGAAATACCCTGGAAGTGAGCTTTTCTGAAGCCCTGCATCCTCAGGGCAAACCTAGGGTGCAGGAGGCCCTCTGGGCATTTGGGGGAAGGTTTGTTGAATGGGGCCAAGCTCGGGGTTAACGTGCAGGGAGCACGGGCGGCCGTGCACCTCTCACCATGTGGTTTTGTCCCGCAGATTCGTCGTTCACGCTGCAGCAGGTGGTAGGCGTTGGGCTGGGCTCCCTGGCTGTTGTGATTGTCCTCGCGTTCCTCTCCTTCTTAGCAGTGTGGTATGTGAGACTGTTTTTAAGAAATGAGCAGGAACCCTGGCTGGTGTGGCTCCGTGGATTGAGCACTGGCTTGCAAACCAAAGAAATGAGTGGGGCCTTGCGGGGGATGATGTGGGAGTCATGAAAAACAGCTGGGATTGAGGAGGGTCAAAGTGATGTGGGCGGAGGGCGTCCTGGGCTCCGCGGACACTCGGCAGGCAGAAGGCATGAGTCGTTGCACCTTAGGGTGGGGGGATGCCCTCCTGTCTCGGGAGAAGAGCAAGGTCGGTGAAGGCTGCCCTGGTCACTCACAGAGTGGTGGCTGATCTCCCGCGCAGCTTTACATGAATGTGCATGGGCTACTCTGAGGGATGCACCATGGGAAAACCAAGGCGTGTCAATGGACTCTCTCTTCCTCCCCCATGTCTAGATTGCAAGTGGGTGCTACGTGTGACGGATGCACTGCTGCTGGGGCAGATGGTATGAAAGCTTCTCAGGTGCCTGCAGAGAGCACCTTCCATCCATGTGTGTGGGGGAGGCTTGCAGACTTTCTCCGTTTCCAGCTTGGCCCCGTTCCTGGATTCAAGATGGGGCTGTCTCTGTGGAAACCCCCCAAAAGGAGGAAACTCAGGAATTGCTGATATGCTACATGACCAGTTCTGTGCCTATGAACTTGAGACCCTTGATATACAAGGGTCATATGGGCTGGGCCTGCATCTGCTTCTGAGTGATGCCTGAGAGACAGCTCCTCTGGACATCGAATGCAAGAGGGTCTCTGTGTCTTCTTTTGTAGCATCTCTGTTGGTTAATTTGGAATCCATTCTTTTATAATAAGCAATAAGATGGACTTAAGTTTGGGTTAAAATTTGACTTTATGAAGTAGGGCATTGAAAAGAATAGAGATCATTGACATAGGCAAATTTGTCAAACACTTTAGAAGCAGCCTTTTTTCTATAATTAATTGACATCTAATTAGGAAATACACCAGCCTGGCCGTCTCACTAAGTTCCCTGCAATGTCTATTTGGTACAGTCCCACTAGTCTTAAGTATTCAAAAGCCTTAAGGGTTTGTTCCAGTAAAAATTGTGAATGTAGACAGTTCTCTTGCATATGAATATTTATAACAGCCTTGGTTAATTTTTTTTTGTCAATGAGGGTCTCGTAAAAATGCTCTGTGCCTCCCTTTAGATTCAGGGGCCATGAGTAACACTGGACTGAAGCAATATCAAGCCCATGGCCAGAATCCAAGGGTTTATAGGGAAGGCAGAACAATGTGGGTGGAGCGGTCATTCCCTTAATCTACACCCTCAATAACTGTGACTGTTACCCTGTCATGGACCGTGACCCATTAGACGTAAGCCGTCCCGGGCCCACTGCCATGATACTGAGTTTACAGAGGGAGTGTAGTCGATTTGACTTTTAAAGCCCGATGAGCATTCTTTAACTTTCCTTCCTACCCGACAGTGTAACTCCAGGCCTCAGTGGGAAATGAAGGAGAAAGGCAGAGGCCTGTGATTTCTCTAAGGACAGCAGCTTCTCCTCCCTCCCTTTTAGGCCCGGAGAAGAAAAAAGCAGCGGGGAGGCAACAGGAGCACAATTAGATTGTACAACCTCCCGGGCACATAGAAGAACATGGTCCTGGGACTGGGCAGCGTTGCAGCCCCAAGGGAGAGGGACAGTCTTCCCAACATGGTGGGCTGGGCATCGGTGAGGGCCAGGGTCAAGGAGCCGGGGCTTGGAAGCAGAGGAGGAGACAATAGGAACAAAGGGAAGAAGTGGGAACTGTCCATGAAGTTGCTCCTCACTGGGGGTTTCAGCACAAAATGTATTCATTCAGTTGGGAAGGGTCAGAGAGGTGGAAGTAATACCCTGCCACTTGGGGGTTCAGTGCCAGCTGTCAACCCCTGGCCCCTGCCCCCTGCCAGTATTAGGAATAATTGTCCTTTGTCCTCTGAAGTACTATCTCAGACTACAATTTAGGGCCAACATTTAGAAACATTCCTGCTCTCATCTCAAGTGAATTACAGAGTAGAACTCTCAACAGACTAATACAAATTGCTTTCTACTTTTCATTTTTATGTGCAACAATTCAAACTCATACTATTTTCACAGCTTGAATTGAATTTGGACTCATTACACATTATTGTGATTAGTATAGGGTAGGATCTCTGATGAGTAAGGATTCCCCTCAAAGCCACCTCTCTCCCAAGAGAGAATCTAAGCCTTCCCCCCTCCTCCAACCCTTTTTTTTTTCCACCAGTTCATAAACACCATATGTTTCCATAGCCACCCCCCCACCCCCTAATTTGCAGCTCTGAGATTAACTGCCAAATAAGCTACAGTTGTCCACATGGAAACTTAGTACAATTGTCACTGAAAAAAAAAAACAACTCACTTGCTTAGCATCAAAAATTTCTAGTAAAATAGCTATTAAGTAAAATATTAAGTACAGTGTACTTTTGGGAACAGTGTAGAAATATAAAAACAGTGCATACAAGAGTACTAAAACAACAAAAACATGGACTTTGTCACTTCCTCTGAATGTTCCAAATTATAACAGAGTCACTCAGTGTTAATCCTTAACAGAAGCAGGGGCTGAGCATTTGCAAAAAGGATGTGCCATTTTTCTACAGTTCTGTCCTAATAGTTTTCTCATAAACATGAAAGTGGTTTTAAGTTTCCTAAATTTGCCTGGTAGCTTCACCCCAATACTGTTTGTTTTTTTTCCAAGTGGATTCCTGGTTAAGTGGGGAGAGCATCTCAGGATAGTGGGTCTTCCTGGGAGAATGTGGGTCCTTCGGTCAAAGGTCAGGTTAGGTCACACCCAGAGCCGGACGTGAGCGGCGGGGGGGGGGCGGGGGGGTGAGTGCCACTAACTAAAGCTGGGCCCTGAGGTGCGGATGGAAGAAGGAGGGGTCCTCCCTGCCAGCTGTCCTGGGGACAGCGTGCAGAAGTGAGCACTAAGATCCAGCATTAGCTCCCTTCTAGACTGGGAATCAAAATTGGGGGATTGCCCAGATATGGAGCAGATTGTTCCCTGGCTGACTGTGTGTGTGCGGGGGGGTGCCCATTGGTTTTACTTATCTCCACCATAGTTTTTGTTTATATATGTGTTCTTTCATTTCATTCTCACAGAAGTTCTGTGTGGTGCGGTGGGAATGGTAGGGGTTATTGTTTACCCCATTTTAGAATGGAAAAATGGGTTCAGACAGATACGTGGCTTAAACTGTGGGGCCAAGACTTCTGGCTACAAGTCTAGTTCTCACTACTGGGATTTGATAAGCCTTGAGCTTATCTTTAGATAGCCCTTTTGGTTCTTGAGGGTATTAGGCCTCTACATTTCCTTCCTTCCTCCCCTCCTTCCCCTTCCCTCCCTCCCTCCCTCCCTCCCTCCCTTCCTTCTTTCCTATCTATCTTTAGTACCTTTACTATATTATAGCACATGTCATTTTATACCTGTCTTTTCACTATAAAGTACTTCCCCCCATCACTTCTAGAAGGAGCCACAAACAACCAAACAATAGATGGAGGTTAATTAGGGGAAGCAGATCACATTCCACCTCTGACTCAAGACCTGAACTTGCAGCTGGGTACTTAAGACAAGACCAGAGCCAAAGTAATTATCTTGAAATTCCATATTAACTTTGAATAAAGTTAATTTTTAATTGATTTTAAAGAAAGTAAATAAAAATATAAGAATTCTCAGTGCTCTTTTTTTATTGCTAAGCTCACATTCTACTTTTCTAAACCTTTTTCTATTTTTTTATTCTACAGGGTCTGGCAGAAGTAATGCCTGTTTGAATGTGGTTGGTAGGGTAATAATATGTGTGTAATAATTTATAGGTATAATTTGGATATTTCACCTAAACTGTCATATGGTGTACTTAAGTGTGATATTGTTATGTTACAGAATAACATGCTTATGATTTTGTAATAAAAGATTTTGTAATAAAAAATGGGGCGTTATTTGTGCTGGACCCTGTATTTATCTAAGAAAAAAACAGTAGTAGTAGGACAGGAACAAGGGTGTGGCTTTTTCTGTTCCCAATTTGTTGGCTGGTGATATAATGAAGCATATCAGTTGAAAAAGAGTATGTGCTCATTGTTTCAAAAAGAAAGAATGAATCATTTTGGTGATGTGTGTATGTGTGACTATATCTGTATCCATACTTCGTTGGTACACCTTGTTTTTTTCTTTCTTTCTAAAATGAGGTCAGACTATGCATAGAGTTTTATAATATGTTTCTTTGATTCATCAACATACCCTGGACACATTTTTCATGGTATAATGATTGCATTTAAAGTTTGTACCATAATTCATTTAACCAGTACTCTATTGTTCATTTAGAGTGTTTCCAAATGTTTACTATCCTTATAGTCTGCATAATTGTATGCAGTTATTACTTAGGCTAAACTCCTAGAAGTGAGATTGTAATGAAAACCACCCTTTACATTTTTTATTTACTGTGTATTGTCAGAGGAATCTCACAGGAAGTTTATAAAAGTTTATACTCTCACTTGTAGAAAGCCCCAGCAAAACTGGGCATTATTGAATCTTTAATCTTCATTAATCTGGTAGGTGAAAAATGATGTTTCAATGTTTTACTTACACTTCTCTTGACTATTTTGCATGTTGATCGGTCATTTCTAATTCTGTCTTGGTGAATTGCCTTTTTTCACACTACCTGGCATGTTTGTCTTTTATTGATTTGAAAAAGCACTTTGTAGCATTGTGATTTTCACTCTCAGCCCTCACCATTTTATCATTTCCCTTGACCTTGTTTGTATTATACATTGCCACATAAAAACTTTAAATTTGTAGAGTCAAATGTATCAGTCTTCTCCTCACGTACTTTTGTCTTTGGTGCCATGCTCAGAACTTCCAATCTCAAGGTAAGAAAAATAATGCAGAAGTTTAAAAAAATTTAAATCTTTAGTCCATCTGACATTTATTTTAGTATAAGGAATGAGGTTGGGGGAATCTTTTTATAATTATTGATAAGTGGCTTAGCCAGTTGTCCTATTAATATTCATCGACTGTTAGTTTTTCCTCTACTGATTTGAATCATATACTAAATCATAAGCTAAAGTCTATTTCTGAACTTTCCTTTTTGTTCCACCGATCTATTTCTTTGCCAGTAACACCTGCTGTAACAGTGAAATAGGGGTTTTTTATACCTATTTTTCTTATTAGTGTTCTCAGCTTTATTTATTTATTTATTAATGTGTTACATATTTATTATACATAAACTAGAGAATTACTTGGTTAAGTTTCCCTCAAAATCTTAATAGTTTTCTTTGGGGTGTGTTAAATAAAGCGTGTTCCTATCCCGAGATAGGATATGTGTTTCCATTTAATTTTGTGTGTGTGTATGTGTCTAGAGTATTCTAGGCTTCAACTTACAAGGTAATTGATTCTTACTTTCTGTTGTGCATGTCTTATATTTTATATTTTGTTATCCTATTTTACATTTTGTTATCTTGAGTCACTACCTCAGCTTCTGCTCCTGAAAATGCATCCCACAGCCTCTATTGCTGTCTGTATT